CAAAACGGAAAACTATATTACGCTCTATCTATATGGTATTGAGCACTGTTTGTGTTTCGTAAACCAAAAACTTAAGCTATATATGTATATATATATAAGATATATTCGTAAATAATGTGGTTTACGAAACGCAAAGAGTGCTCGATAACATATAGTCAGAGCAAACATATCATTTTCGCTTACCTCAAAAAGTCTGCTACAGGCTGTTTCATCCGTATTGGAATATATAGCTTAAGAATATATATAGCTTATATATATATATATATATATATATATATATATATATATATATATATATATATATATATATATATATATATATATATATATATATATATATATATATATATATATATATATATATATATATATATATATATATATATATATATATATATATATATATATATATAGTTTTTGGTTTACGAAACACAAACAGTGCTCAATACCATATAGATAGAGCGTAATATAGTTTTCCGTTTTGACTCCAACTATTAAAATATAAAATGTGAACAGTGAACTTGTAAATAAAATAAACATACCAGTTTGTCCAAGTTTTTCGGCTATTTCTTGCATCGACTTATCACGAAAATCTCTATTTTTAAAATCGCGACTCCTCACGTCATAAAGGCAAGGGTAATCCGGCCAAATATCGGCGATTTTGTCTTCCAACAATGCTTCGGACACCACAACGCTACTTGTCGCCATTTTGGTTAATTGAAAGATTCATGTAGCACGCATGCGTATTGGCATCATATTGTAAGCTGTTTGCTTTTCCTGCCCGCACACTTAAAGATAATCGACACTCGTGTCAAAAATTATTCAACATGTTGAACATTCAGTGCTAATGGCAGGCATGCCGGAAATCTCTCAAAACGTCCCCGCACACCTGAGAAACTTGCTTACGCCAACAGTCACGCGTGACGCTCAGCTCAGCTGATAGCTCTAGTGTGCGACGGGCTTTAAATAGCTTTCGCACCGAACGCCTGTGGTGTAATTATTGTACAACAATGAAGACTGGACTTGGATCAACAGCTTCACCAAAGCAGAGACAAAGAAATGAACGTATCCACAGACAAAAGAAATCAATTATATCTAATTTTTACATGCCAATCTACAAGGTCAAGGATGTTATTGTGGTTTATTACAATGGTATCAAGATAAAGAAATATAATTTCAAAAGGCAAAATACACTAATTGTCAAAAACACAAAATACGTGGTACCGACTATCTTTTTTATCTTCAAATTACGGCAAGTAGAATATTTCGAACGTTCGGTACTTTAAAGTATTTGTAGAGCCGGCGTAATTGCCTTAATTACTAGGGAGCATAACGGCAAATCACAGATTTTCACGCTTTAATACATACAACGCCTGCACTTCTAGCCGTGACGAGTGTAACTTAAAACTCGGTTCAGTAGAACTCTCCCCAAATATAAAGCCAATGTTTTCAACTTCTTATACTGTATGAAATTCATACGAATTATAAAATACGACAAGTTTTCTTTACTATCATTTATTTGAAGGAATTTGTTTTGGCCGTCGTCGTCGTGTTACCGTTCTACGTGCTTAAGCTTCCTAATGCTTACGAAGTACTGTGTTCTGTGGTATTTGCTCATGGGCATACCCAAGAATACGTATACGTGAGAGTGTACTCTAATGGCAACGAATTTAATAACATGAAAAACAGTAAAATAAGTAATGATAGCTTATCTCTTTAATTTCGTTCTCAAGATTTTCGTTTCATTTGACTGTTGATTCCTTTGACCAACTTGCATACCGAAAGTTATGCAGCGAGCGGACGCTCTTGGTTTATAAAGTTGATTTATGGACCAATAAAAGGTGGACATTTAGGAAGAATAGTTTATAACTGATAGTATATTAATATAAGTTAAGATTTCCTAACTCCTGTACTTAGTACATATAATAAAGGCTTAAGTGGAGTTTTTGCAAGAAAACGCTGTTGTGTATGTGTTTCTTTGTTTAGGAAAATTGCGGCAAACTTTCAATTTCTGGAAAAATAATGTCTGCATGTTCCCCGGCAAACGCTAACGAGAGTAATTAATTATACATGCGCTATTGTAATATTTTTCCAGCCATGCGAGACACCCAAAATAAAATTATGGAGCCATACACGAATATTGGATTGGTGTGCCATGTTACGCTGAAAAGTTGGAAACGAAGATTAAAATGCGACAAATTCGAAGTACATATATTCAACCTAAATGTTTTCTTAAATCATGATAGTTTTCCAGTTTTTTATGGTTGCACGTAGGTCTTGACATCGTGATACGATATCGAGCATTCTTTAGTACTTCGCGAACCAAAACACACTCGTATATATTTAGATACATATGTGGGTGTGGGCATTGTGTGTGAGTGAACGTGTCCACAAACAAAACGAATCAATTATATCTATTTTTACATGCAAACCTACAAGGTCGAGAATTTTATTGTGGTTTATAACGATGGTATCAAGATAAAGAAATATAATTTCAAAAGGTAAAATACAATTATTGACAAAAAAAAAAAAAATCCTCGCTAGCGGCAACTTTTTAATCTCTAAACTGCGGCAAATGGAAATATTTCGAAAGTTCGGTACTTCAAAAATATTTTTAGGGTTAGCGTAATTGCCTGAATGCCTACGAAGTCTTGTCTTCTGTGATATTTGCCCATGGGTATAGCTTGGCTAGAGAGTTAACTGTGACAGCTTCAATGAAAACTAAGAACATGTGAAATGTAGAATACTAAAAGTTACTGTGCAACTTTTCTAGATTATCTCTTTTCGTTCTCGAGATCTAGTTTCATTTGACTGTCAATTCCTTTGACCGACTTACATACAGAAAGTTTTACAGCAATCAGACAGTTTTATAAAGTTGGTTACTAAAAGTTAAGGTTTCCTAGCTGCTGTAATAACTATAACCCTGCAGGACAAATAAAGGGTTGTCCTCACCGGACTTTTAGGGAAAAGAGTTTAACTCCTGGATGTACTTACAGAATGAAGATTTGTGATACAACGCTTACTAGTGTATGTTCTTTGTCTAAAGGATTAGTGTCACACCGCTCAAACTCCTGCTGGCGGCCATTTTTCGGGACGAATAGATTAGATGATCTGCAAAGTGTTTACAATCAGTCTTATATTTAAACCATCCTTTTATAATCCTTGCTCTTATTGTATTTAAGTAAAATGTAAACAATTACAAAAGCCCGCAACGCATGACCTTGATACTAGTCCTTTAATTTTCTTTGTTTAAAAAAAGGGTGGCAAAAATCTCAATTGCTTCCGACAGAATATCTGCTACCTGGCAAATGCTTACGAAAGTAATTAGTCATACATTCGATATTAGAATTCTTTGCAAGCCAAGCGAGACACCCAAAATATGCGTTTATCATGTATGATTCATACACGATAAACACATGTTTCGCAGAAAAGTTTGAAACTAAGAACTAAATGCCGTAAATTCGAAGCAAATTTTAACATAAATGTTTTCTTAACCATGCTAGTTTTCTAGTGCCCTATGCTGTTGTGATGTTTATTTAATTAGATCATGAAAGGCATATACTAAAAATTCTATTATGCACTACATGGGGCGAGGAATGGAAACCTTACTTGATCACGTTAAGATGTTTCTACTAGTGGGATGTAGATTGCAGTATATTATTGGTGGAAAGGCGATGTTGCACCATAGTTGTAGCCTGAGAGGGCCGTGAATGCCATTCTGGCGAAAGTGTAGGGCCCCTTTGGAAAATGTCCGACCGGTACAAAGCATGTGCATTGTCAATTTTCTTGTAATGTGACTTTCACGATTTTTACAATGCATTCAAGGCTGCCAGAGTTAATGAGGTTTGAGTGTTTACAACAAATCCTGGTGTGATTTCTAAAGGGTCACATTTCTTATCACCCTGTATATGAATTTAAATGCCCAAAGCGATTTTATTACAGGTTGTTGTGCATACTATAATCACACTAAAATTGCATCTACTGTATATAACCCGTGATCCGGCCTATGAATAAATAAATAGGCCTGATACAAACCATGCCTTATAACCGTATTTCGGTTGTAAATCTGATTGGTCTATGAGACAAAAGATTTATAATCTGTCATTGATTGGTTGGTCTAATTAGATTATACTATTGTTGATGATATATTTCATAGTGATCATAACTATAATTAGATTGTTGTTGTCGTTATGTAAAATTTAAATTTCTCCTGCGACATTTGGTGGAAAGCTATCGCATTAATGTTTGTGTCAGGCTATATTTGTAAAATAGAGCCTGATGTCAGGTTAGCATCTGTCATGTTTCAGACCGTTCTTATGACTCGCTGGATAGCAAATAGCACTGTACGTACTGTACTACCCAAACTTTATCAGAACTATATCAATTATATTTCCTTGGATATAAATAAATAGTTCGAGAAGATTTTTACTTGGAATGCTGTAGGAATCAGTGCATGAAAAGGAGATGATAAGTTTTTGTGTGTGGATGCAATTTTCCAAGTTTGAATGATCAGCAGAATCAGCTAAAATTCAGTGAACTAATGATTTTGATATTTTCAATTAAACTTGGAAAATAAAGTCGTTATATACATTACAAAAAGTAAATTATTTACGATAAACTAAACGTCGTGGTCTGATTTGCAGAGATTTTGACAGAGTTAAAATCTCATATAATTATTAATATTCTAGCTTTAAATTTGGCTGATTTAATACAAAAGGATGCTCTATCCAGTCCTTTATAGTTTTCAGAACAGTGATGCGTGCATGCTGCATCACCAGAGACACAGGTAGTGAAAGTCTGGTTTAACCATGTGATTGGCAAGCAGTGGAAATCAATATTATGTGTAGACTATTGCCGTATTTATATTCTGTGAGCCCTGCATGGCCTGAATGACCAACTAAAACCAGTCCGTTGTATTCTTCTATATTTACAATTCGATAGCTTACAAACGACTATTGTGTACCAGCAGCATTAAACTGTATAGAAGCTGCTTTAATAACCTACAGTGAGAATTACAAAAAATGAAAAGTAAATTTAAATAAAGAATCAGAGACGGAGATAATGTCGGTTATACTCACCACAATAAATATTGACAGCAATCACACTGTCACAGCTTGTATCTGCGTACCTCTCACTCTTTTCTAGTGGTGCTTCCACGAAGACTGACTTCTTTGTAATGATTAAAACTGCAAGCTGTTGCTGTACTTATATTCTCCCTAATTCCAACCACCCCATGGTTACCAGCATAAGTCTGGTGTTCCGCTGACAATGAATGTTATTCATGCCAAAAAATGTAAATGCTGTTTTAATGATATTTAAATAAAGGTAGAACTCCCTTGCGTATTTAGTCATGGGCAATGATTCACTCTTTTCTTTAATTATTTTTAACACAATCTAGCTTCCGTCACAGACACCGCGCACCTTCGGTGAAAATCTTCCCCCGCACAATGTCTTATATCCGTTTACTCTTTTGCTTAAATTAAACTGTAGTATTTGAAACTCATTATTTGTGATCGAATGAGTTCCACACTGTAGTTTACTGTCGTCCGTTCTACTAAAACTACATATTCAGAATCATAGCTATCTAATATAAGATGTTTGAAATTAAATGTAGAAGTCCCTCGAGCGTTTTCATCTTGGGCAATTGGTCGCCTCAAATAGTCGGCAGTAATTACAATGGATTCACTCATTTTTCAGTTATTTTTCATACAACAAACAATTCAGCTTACGTCCTAGACTCCATGCACTTTAGGTGGAAAGCTTCCTTCGTGGCAACCATATTAGCATGTCCTCATTATAGTTAATTATCATGTAGCCAATACGAGAAACTGTTAGAACACAATTCTAACATCTCAATATAGATTTACTATCATTTATTTGAAGGAATTTGTTTTGGCCGTCGTCGTCGTGTTACCGTTCTACGTGCTTAAGCTTCCTAATGCTTACGAAGTGCTGTCCTCTGTGGTATTTGCTAATGGGCATACCCAAGAATACGTATACGTGAGAGTGTACTCTAATGGCAACGAATTTAATAACATGAAAAACAGTAAAATAAGTAATAATAGCTTATCTCTTTAATTTCGTTCTCAAGATTTTCGTTTCATTTGACTGTTGATTCCTTTGACAAACTTGCATACCGAAAGTTATGCAGCGAGCGGACGCTCTTGGTTTATAAAGTTGATTTATGGACCAATAAAAGGTGGACCTTTAGGAAGAATAGCTTAGAACTGATAGTATATCAATATAAGTTAAGATTTCCTAACTCCTGTACTTAGTATATATAATAAAGGCTCAAGTGGAGTTTTTGCAAGAAAACGCTGTTGTGTATGTGTTTCTTTGTTTAGAAAAATTGCGGCAAACTTTCAATTTCTGGAAAAATAATGTCTGCATGTTCCCCGGCAAACGCTAACGAGAGTAATTAATTATACGTGCGCTATTGTAATATTTTTCCAGCCATGCGAGACACCCAAAATAAAATTATGGAGCCATACACGAATATTGGATTGGTGAGCCATGTTACGCTGAAAAGTTGGAAACGAAGATTAAAATGCGACAAATTCGAAGTACATATATTCAACCTAAATGTTTTCTTAAATCATGATAATTTTCCAGTTTTTTATGGGTCACGTAGGTCTCGACATCGTGATATGATATCGAGCATTCTTTAGTACTTCGCGAACCAAAACACGCTCGTATATATTTAGATACATATGTGGGTGTGGGCATTGTGTGTGAATGAACGTGTCCACAGACAAAACAAATCAATTATATCTATTTTCACATGCAAACCTATAAGGTCAAGGGTGTTATTGTGGTTTATTACAATGGTATCAAGATAAAGAAATATAATTTCAAAAGGCAAAATACACTAATTGTCAAAAACACAAAATACGTGGTACCGACTATCTTTTTTATCTTCAAATTACGGCAAGTAGAATATTTCGAACGTTCGGTACTTTAAAGTATTTGTAGAGCCGGCGTAATTGCCTTAATTACTAGGGAGCATAACGGCAAATCACAGATTTTCACGTCTTTAATACATACAACGCCTGCACTTCTAGCCGTGACGAGTGTAACTTAAAACTCGGTTCAGTAGAACTCTCCCCAAATATAAAGCCAATGTTTTCAACTTCTTATACTGTATGAAATTCATACGCAGTGGCGTAGCAAACTCGATAATTGGGGGGGCACATATTCATATATTCGTGTTCACTGACCTTAAAAGCAATTGATTTCAAAAGAAATTAATAAGGCAGAACACGAATATATGAATATGTGCCCCCCCAATTATCGAGTTTGCTACGCCACTGTTCATACGAATTATAATATACGACAAGTTTTCTTTACTATCATTTATTTGAAGGAATTTGTTTTGGCCGTCGTCGTCGTGTTACCGTTCTACTGTACGTGCTTAAGCTTCCTAATGCTTACGAAGTACTGTCTTCTGTGGTATTTGCTCATGGGCTATTTGTTTCTGTGGTATTTGCTCATGGCTCAATATAAATTTGTGGTAGTGGATAAATTATCCAAAAGGTTCAGTAGATTCGTGGTAGTGCGTGGATTATTCGTAGATGTGTTATACTGTCCAATAGTTTAAAGATCAGCTATGCAGGCGCTCTTGGTTTATAAAGTTGGTTTAGTTAAAGTTTTCTTCTGTAGCTGCATGGTAACACACTCGATCAAGGAACTGGACCTTTATAGGGAGAAGAGTTTAGTACTGACCATATACAGGCTAAATTTCCTAAAGCTTCTGTATACTTACATAATAAAAGTCTTAAATATTTATAACTCAATAATAGACGGCTGAAGTATTTTGTTTTTA